TCCTGTGCCATGGTAGTGGTAGTTTTGGTTCATCAGGTACTTGCTTCACAAATTGATCTGGAGCATATTCTTTAGCTCCTCCTGTACTTCTGTTGGCCCTCCTGAAGCTGCAGCTTCAACTCAAGTGGAAAAGACATGTTAAGAATGAAAGGATAACTGGTAAACCTATACATGTGAATGTCTTTAAAGCATTAATATCCCATTAATTTCTATTGCCTGTCATGGTTTCTGGAGAGGATGAAGAAGCAATTTCATCTAAGAGCTTTGACTAATATAATTATTTCTGTAATATATTTAGAGAAGGCTATACTAAGTCACAGGTACTGTGATATTTTAAATTTTTAGCTTGGCACTTGAAAAGTCTTTTATCTTACTAGTTCAAATTCTTGTTCCTGTCTCTGGATTATAATAGTATTTTATTGTAGGATTAACACAAGTTAATACTCTTTAACCGCAAGTTGAGTTTATCATTGGATTTCTTTAAATCCAAAGCAATTACTGGTGGAAACTCTACAAAACCCTGAAGATGTATAATTTTCTTTCATATGTAAGTTTCCCAGATACTGGATAAAGCTCTGTTTTGAACCTGTCACTTTAAATTAACTTAAATTCTATGGTGTGCGTGTTGGTTTTTGTTAAAATTTATCATTATGTTAAAGCTGTCTTAGCAGGTATGATTTGGTCATGTACCTGACAAAGCAGTTACAAGGAGACAATGTTTCTCTGACACTTTATGTCTTAAGTAGGCTTACCTATTTATTTCCCGTGATCCGGTCCTGAGTGTAGGTGGCATCAAAAAGACATTAATGTTTTAAAATATACAGTTTTTCATATTTTTACTGTCTTACAATTTTCTGGGGAAAAAAGTGCACTTAGACCCATTTCAATTTCACACTTAACAGTAATGAAAAAAATTGAGAGGTGCTTGGTAGCTGGCTTCTTCATCTTTACCAAATATTGTTTTACTTAATGTTTCATCTCCGACTCTTGAAGGAAATCACTTATCCTCCTACAGTGGCTCAGCAACCAGAAATAAGCATATCTAAGGATGAATAGAATCAAAAGCTTTTCCTTCTGTGATTAAATAGCTGTATCTTTCACTGCAGTATCTACTTCTTGCAATCAGGAATGAACTTTTCCAGTATAACCTATTGCTACATTTTAATTAACCAGTTCTGACAGAAGCAGAGGATGCTTCTTGGCAGACAATAACCTGATAGAGGACTGCACGTGAGCCTTTACTTCAAGCGGCAGTTGTCTGCCAAGAAATGCCTGAACCGTTTGTCAACAGTGCTGTTGATTTCATATATATGTTGTTGGTTTATGTCTTGTGTCTGTTAATGTGCAGGCTCACTTTCAATCAGTGCATATAGTTTCTCCTACATAACACCTAGTCATTGCTTCTCAACCATTCCTTCCCCTTTAGAGAGGCAGTTTTACCACCACCTCTTGAACTCCATTGATAGCAACACTGATGTTCAAATAAAACTCTGTTGTAAAACGAAATAAGGAAATTGCTCTGCAGAGGGACCTGGACAGGCTGGATCGATGGGCTGAGGCCAATTGTATGAGGTTCAACAAGGCCAAGTGCCGGGTCCTGCACTTTGGCCACAACAACCCCATGCAGCGCTACAGGCTTGGGGAAGAGTGGCTGGAAAGCTGCCCCGAGGAAAAGGACCTGGGGGTGCTGGTTGACAGCCGGCTGAACATGAGCCGGCAGTGTGCCCAGGTGGCCAAGAAGGCCAACGGCATCCTGGCCTGTATCAGAAATAGTGTGGCCAGCAGGAGGAGGGAGGTGATCGTGCCCCTGTACTCGGCCCTGGTGAGGCCGCACCTCGAATACTGTGTTCAGTTTTGGGCCCCTCACTACAAGAAAGACATTTCTGGTAGAAGTGCTGGAAGAAGTCCAGAGAAGGGCAACGAAGCTGGTGAAGGGTCTGGAGCACAAGTCTTATGAGGAGCGGCTGAGGGAACTGGGACTGTTTAGCCTGGAGAAGAGGAGGCTGAGGGGAGACCTCATCGCACTCTACAACTACCTGAAAGGAGGTTGTAGCGAGGTGGGGGTTGGTCTCTTCTGCCAAGTAACTAGTGATAGGACGAGAGGAAATGGCCTCAAGTTACGCCAGGGGAGGTTTAGATTGTTGATTAGGAAAAATTTCTTCACCGAAAGAGTTGTCAAGCATTGGAAAAGGCTGCCCAGGGAAGTAGTGGAGTCACCATCCCTGGAAGTATTCAAAAGAAGTGTAGATGTGGTGCTTAGGGACATGGTTTAGTGGTGGACTTGGCAGCACTAGGTTAACAGTTGGACTTGATGATCTTAAAGGTCTTTTCCAACCTAAGCGATTCTATGATAATATTTAAAACAAAAGAAGGTTTTTCTCGCAATGCATAATTAACTGGAACTCTTTGCAGTGGAATATTAGTGATACTGGATGCTAATGTCTGTTCTAAAAATGAATGGACTCATTAATGAAAGTAAAATGGGCCCCTAAACACAAAGATGATGTGTATGATTAAGTAGGGTTCTGAGCTCTCGCAGGCTGGGAAAGACACCATCCATGCTTGCCACTGGTTTTCATAGTCTTTGGTAGACATCTGCTGTCTGAGACAGAATGATGTTCCTAAACTAACAGTTGTTCTAGTGGCTTAGAGAGTGCAACTCAGCATGCTCTGCCTTTATCAGATTTGGGGAAACTTCCCGATTTGTCTCCTAAACCCAAGACACTGAAGCAATAGCCAGCTGCTGCCTATGGGAGGAGCAGGATGCGGCCATTCTGAGGACAGAGCAGCCATGCAGCAGTGTGAGGTTTCCCATGTTGCGTGGGTCTGTCCTTCACTGATGCTGCTGACAGGTGTGGAGAGGACTGAGGTGCCCAGAGGCTGGCTGCCACCATGGATAATGTATCTTTAATCATGCTTTAGTCCATTATATCAGTGGGCATTCCTAAGGAGGTGGAACAACCTGTATGCAGGCTGTTTGGAGGATTAAGCTTTCTCAGTCAAAAGCTCATTTTATTCTTTATCAGATTAACTATTTAAAAATCTTATATTTACTGTACACACTTATCAATATCCTAATTAAAGAAAGCTATGTTTCAGTAAAAGGAGTGATGGAAATAATTATTGTTTGTACTTCTGAATTACATTTCCATGGGTAATGATCCAAAGCTGCAACATATTGTATGTTCCATAATCATTTGTAAGTCTAACTAATCATGATTAAAGAATATCCTATCATACTGAGTAGTTCCTAAAACATCCTGCTCACATAATAGTTCATTTAGATAAAGGCACCAATGTGAGTAATTTTAAAAATGAACAAATTGAATACTTTGCCTCTTGATAACTGTGTGTTTGCTTACTTGCAAATAGAGCTGAGATGCATTATATTAAATTTCCTAGAATTTCTGCCTTGCTAGAATTAATATGAAATGCCTAAAAGTGCTAGAACAGTGTCATATACTTTAAATCACTTTTTTTAATATTTTATGATTGCTATTTAAACTCAAGCTAGAAAGAATTCCAGTAAAATATCAAACTTCATTTGTAAAACAGCTACAAATACCAGAAAATTTGATTTCAAGGTAAGCAACTTCTTAAGGACTGCTCTTTTTTTTTTCTTTGAAGTCCCTCATAGTAATATTACTTGTGAATGTTTCCCTGGTATTTTTCCATGAGTCAGTGGCCATAAGGGATTATTAAAAATAAACCTGGCTTCTTTAAAGCAGTGCTAGTATTGAAATTTGTTTGTTTGTTTATTTGTGTGAAAGCATTTGGAGGAGCCTGTAATATGGTAAGTTTAAACCATAGGAATAGGACAGATTTATTTGCAAACTTTCTTGATTGTGTTGTTTAAATTAAACCTGAATTCATTAGTAGACATCTTCTAAGTGACTTGGTATGTGATGGTTTTTGGTTTTGTACTAGAAAATAAGATGTCTAGAAGGGAGAGATTTGTTTTACAAATGCTTTGTGGTACTTACTAGTCTGATGTAAAATTCTGGTATACCAAGGGTCAGGAGTATTGCATGCAACAAGATCCCCTGTTCTGCAGACCCAGATTCTTTTTTTCTTCTTGCTTAAAGGACACTTCCAAATGCAGTCATATAAGGAAATAATTTGTTAGCTTTTAAAGGAGGACACACTGTGTCTTCTAACAGCAGCTCAGACCTTTCTTGGAATTCATGGAGATGACAAACATTATTTCTGAGCACTGTAATCTTCACTGTTGGGAATAACTGTGATACTGGTGCTGAAAGTCATGGTAAGTGTATGGCACTGCTTGTAGAGAATATACAAGCCTAAAGACTGATCTCACTAGCTCTTCTGGTTTACTGATAGCTGGTTCTTATAGGTACTGCTAAAGCTGTGTAACAAGGGGACTGTTTTACTTGAAGATTGGTTCCGCAGTCAGGGAATACATTACATTGGCAGAAATAGAAGGAGGTTTTAATAAGTGCTGTTTGTATGAGTAGCAAAAAAGTAGATCCAAAATGCTCTGAAGTGTATAAGGAGCATATGTGTTTCAGATCCAGCTGGTAAGTTCCCAGATTCCTTTGAAGCTTTTCCATTTTTTGAACGGCATGAGTATTTCCTCCCCTCCCCATGCCCCGCGCCCCCCGCCCCGAGCTAAAATATTTTGGATTCGGCAGCTGTTCTTCCTGCATAGTATAACCTTCTCTTTATTAGGACTAAAGATAGTTATCTTCACTGGAGCAAGACAAAATAAATT